TTCAGCGCCAGTACTAGATAAATCAACTCGATATAACAAAATCTAAGATACCTACCTACGATGTGAGAGATATTTGATATTTACGGACATGATACTAATTACCAAATACCGTGCTCCACGTGGAATTACTATACCACAAGGACCGCACCGCCTCTCGTCTGATCGACAAAGTTAAGCCTGAAGAGAAGACTGATCATCCCAGTTATATACACAGCGTAAGCAGTTGTGAAATTAAAGCCTGAAAAAATTCAGGCCTGAATGGAATTCGAACCCATGACCTCTGCGATACCTGTGCAATGCTCTACCAACTGAGTTATCAAGCATTGAAATAAACTTGAACAGTGTTACAAGGAAGCGCCAGTGAGCCACTCGTTTTCCCTTTCTCTCTACATTTTGTAAAAATAAAAGGCACAAACAAGACAAAAATAAAAGGCACAAACAAGACAAACACTTAAGAGTTCTCTTATATAGGAGGACTAAGGGGAGGAAACAGTACCTATGGGTTTTACTAAAACTATTCATTACAAAGCAAAGTCTTGTCCATTGCTTCTGGCGCCATCTTGTTTAGAGAGGGAGAGGGAAAGGGGGGGGGGGGGCAAGCAAGGTAAGAATTACAGTCACTATGTGAAGAGTTGGAAGTTTGATGCCCAATAATAAGGGACTTTAAATTTGAGTACGAGTTCGAGATCGCGTACGAGAACGACTTTGCTATTCTAGTATTCTGGCTCCACATTATCACGTCACCTACCAGCATTTTATCCTTTGAGCTACCTACTCTACCTAAACCAACATGAGGATCAAAGGCCCTAAAAACTAACAACATTGGTTTAAACTTCGGAAATTGAATTCGTACTCAATTTCGTATTCGTAGTTCAATAGCAGATTTACATGATATCGTTATTTGACAACGACTACCGGAATTCCTTTCCGTTTTTTATTTTTCTTTTTTTCTTTTCTTTTTCCACGCAATAAGCTTAAAAATAGAAAAAGTGAAGGATTCTGGTCAATTGAAGTCAATGAAGTGACGCCACTATGCAAATGTGCTATTTAAAGGACCCCAATTTCAGCATAAACGTTTTGAAGTTATTATTAGCAAGAAGACGAAGATACTCAGAAGAAGCTTTTGATGATCAAATTTAATTTTAACATAACTAGCAAAGCCACGCTATCAAACTTAGCATACGTAAGCGTGCATCATAATGCAATGTGGCATGGTCACGTTCGTATCAAGAAAACCGGCTCAACATTGATAACAATAGGTATTGTTATAAGACCTAAAATTGGTCTTATATGGTCATTTTGAACAATGGCGGTATAAGCTTCTAAATGCCCGCKGGAGTTTTTGAAATTTCCGATTACCATACGAGCGCGAAATTTAMACGATCGGAAAGACTGAACGGAAGACAAATTCTCCTGAGGGGAGATGGTATTGGTATAATCCTGTCGGTGCAAATAGTTGCGCTGGGGTGGCTGGTGGGGTGACGGTTGTACACATTTATTTAAAAGTGAAAGTAATTTATTTCCATTGGCAATGCTGTAAAATAACTGATTTATGTTTTGGTTGTGTATTTTCAAGGTATGATGCACTTGGAAAGTTCGAAGAGCATTCAAGAAAGTAGAGTTGCTTTCGGCTGTGCCTGAAGCATTTCTTACGCTTCTTTAGTGCTCTCCAGACTTCGGGCGTATATCATAACGTGATGATATGAGTCAATTGTTAAAGGAAGTCATTTTTGTGCAATTTCGCAATCCCAATTAAAGTCACAAACTCACTATTCGAACTCTTATCTCAGTTCAACTAGAGTCTGGGAAGGGAGCCTCGTATTATTATCCAAGTCTGGAGGATCCTCAACACGATGGTCTTGGAATGTAAAATTAATAGCCTCCTTTTCGCGCGAAAATATCCTCGCCACATGAACAGAATGAATGAATGTTTTTCGTTATGAATGCGTTATTTTCTCCAATATATGCTCCGTGTCCTTAAGGGTAAAGTATATTCGGAAAGAGAAGATATTTAATGCTGCGTAAATTATCGATTGGGAATTTGTTTCTCTAATGGAGATTTTCCATACAGCGAGACATCTCTCAAAAGCCGCTAATTCAATTATTGTAACTTCAAATTCATTCTACGGATTTTAATTAGAAGAGAAGCTAAGTTTGATTCACTATTTTTATGCAGACACTAACATTAAGAAGATCCGAGGACTTTAATTGGGCCATCTGAATATCTTGGATTACTTTGTTTCTACAATCAGTCACCAGTAAGCTCCGTGTCTTTTCACATAACAGAAAATCATGTACTGAACAACACGACAACTGACGGCCTGTATTTCAACTGGAGAAAGGAGAAAGTGAGCACTTCTACGTAGTATCAGGGCTTATCATTATTATTGTTATTAATTGTTTATAGAGACTGCCTTCCTCCTTTTTTAATAATTAAAAAGCATGCCTGTTAAGCACAAAATAAAAAAACAAACAAACAAAAAAAGATACCTGTTAAGCACAAAGGGAGCCGAGCAGATGTCAGTTGTTTACAAGAGCTTACGAAGCCAGTTCAAGAAGAACATAGTCAAGGTTTGTATCAGTCTCGTTACGTTATTCTAGAAAGTCTTCCTATACGAAATTTATTTATATCCGAAAGAAATAATGTTCAGGACTATCTAGCTCCCTGACGACGTTTTTTTTTTTGTTTCGTAACGAAGACTTTCGGTGGAGTTCAGAGAAGTGTATTCTTTTTGAAAATTCTTATGTTTTAATGACGTTTCCGCCAGAGGACGGTCTAGAATTGAGAAGAATCAGATATCTATCATAATTTGCAATTAAGACCCCCGTCTTACTTAAAAAAGTCTTTTAAAACACAATAAGTATTTGTTAAAAAAAGCGACACCTAAAGAAACTTGAAAAAGTTATTTTATTTCTTTAACCACATTTTGGGAAATTTGCGCGTAATTCTTTCCGTAGATTAGACTCACGGCCATTGACGAAAATAACATAGAGTAGGGCGTATAATTTTGTTTCAAGTGAAAATGCATCTTGGTCATTAGGATAGAAATGAGCTCTATTAACTTATGTATCAACACCACAAATTATTCGCATTTTCTCTGTATTGGTTTGTAGCATTTTGACACTTTTTTTCGGAGAAAATAAAACTGCCCTTTTAAGAGAAGATGCAGAGTTACGGAAGAAGAGCCAAAATTTTATCAAATATCTAGTAGGTGAAGTTTGTGCAGCCGAACAACTTAATGAAGCCCACGCCAAAAGCATTGGCTAAGTAAATGTAGCACCCGCAGTGTTTTCCAAACTCTATTAAAAAAACGCATTAGTTAAGTCAACTTAAAAAGTCTTCCTTTGCCGGTGGTAATTATGTCTATACGTTTGATCAATTCCATCGCAAACTTCTGATGTGAATAATCAGATATTAAACTAAGAAATACGAACTTTAAGTAGTCTATCACTTGCAAAACCTCTCACGTGTTTCTTTTTGTTGTAAAACTCGGAATTTTCTCAGATACCTGTAGCAATTACCCATTGCGAAGATTTATCGCGTATATGGAAAGCGTGGGGGTACACTAGCTTTGAAAGTCACTCCGATATTATATATTCGAGGAAACCCACAGTTTTTATTGCCCATAAGGTGTACTCGGCGTAAACTTTGCCGAAACGTTCACACAGCTTAGTTAGAAGTGATAAATTGAACGATAACGTTTAACTTGCTTGATTGCGCTTTTTATCCTGTTATGGATAATTTTACGTTTTGAGTCATCAAATCATTTTGGCTAAAAGCCAGCAGCAGAACCAGGAGGGAGGGGGAGTCTCTAAGCAAAATATTGGTTGAGTCATCACTGCCAGTGTGACGTCACGTTTCGCTCGGATGAAATTAAAAATGTTGCCCAATAGGTGAAGTACAAGAGGTTGATAAAAATGCGGAATTTTGCTCCGATATTCTGCCCCATTTGCTTAGGTTCGTTAATATGTGGTTTATATGACATTGAGGAATCTTTATTTGGTACTTTTTGTTAGCCAAAATATTCAACAAGTTGATAATTTGATCGAGAGCTTTCTGTTTTGAAGCCAATTTGTCGAGCAAAACTGTTAGCTGATTGACCTTTCGAGGGCCACTGCATAGCGAAGCGGAGCACTTTTGACACAAGAGCGTACCTGTTAAGCACAAAAAAAAAGAAAAAAAAAACCTGTTAAGCACAAAGGGAGCCGAACAGATGTAAGTTGTGTACAAGAGCTTACGAAGCCAGTTCAAGAAGAAGACAATCAAGGTTTGTATCAGTCTCGTTACGTTATTCTAGAAAGTCTTCCTCTACGAAATTTATTTATATCCGAAAGAATAATGTTCAGGACTATCTAGCTCCCTTATAAAGACGTTTTTGTTGTTGTTGTTGTTGTTGTTGTTGTTTTTGTTTCGTAACGAAGACTTTCGGTGGAGTTCAGAGAAGTGTATTCTTTTTGAAAATTCTTATGTTTTAATGACGTTTCCGCCAGAGGACGATCTAGAATCGAGAATAATCAGATGTCTATCATAATTTGGACTAAAGACCCCCGTCTTACTTAAAAAAACTCTTTTAAAACACAATAAGTATTTGTTAAAAAAAGCGACACCTAAAGAAACTAGAAAAAGTTGGTTGAGTTGAGTCATCACTGCCAGTGTGACGTCACGTTTCGCTCGGATGAAATTAAAAATGGCGCCCAATGGGTGAAGTACAAGAGGTTGATTAAAATGCGGAATTTTGCTCCGATATTCTGCCCCATTTGCTTAGGTTCGTTAATATGTGGTTTATACGACATTGAGGAATCTTTATTTGGTAATTTTTTGTTGGCCAAAATATTCAACAAGTTGATAATTTGATCGAGAACTTTCTGTTTTGAAGCCAATTTGTCGAGCAGAACTGTTAGCTGATTGACCTTTCGAGGGCCACTGCATAGCGAAGCAGAGCCCTTTTGACACAAGAATAGGAGGTTCGACAGAGGGTATGCTTGGCTTCTNATCTTGGTGTCGAAGATGGTCGACAACTTCTCAAGCATTGTAGCTTGTTGACGCTCAATTACAGCTTGAACCGTCGCGTCCATGATATCTTATGTTGGCAGTGTTGATAGACTCGATTTCTTCTACGTCTTTGCTCGAACGGAATTGATCTAGCACTGATTTTGACAATTTGCTGGGCTGCGAAATCTCAAAACTACGCAGAAATAAAACCAGCACATGTTGGTAGCAGCGCCAGTCTAGAATGATTCCCCAAGTAAAATCCCACCAACACACGATCTCGATTCTGATGTTGCCATGACAACTGTCAAATCTCCGGCGAACCGTGAAAACGTAAATTTGTTGCTATTCTACGAACCACAGCAAATAGCAAGTTCTGGCGCACCAACAACTTCTCTAACGAGGCCATCTTTGCTCTTGCACTTCTCCATCGCCTCTAGCAAGAAATCTCTACTTTGGTTGGTGGAAGGCTCAAAGGAGGTTGTAGACGAAGTTAATGCGTTACTCACTTGTTTTGCATTTCGCGGCAGCTCACTTTTGGAACGACAGAATTCCAACTCCCCTTGTCGACGAACTGATTCGAAAAAGACCTCCCTGGGTTGCCATTTCCCTGATGATACAGTTTCCTTCAGTTCTTGAATGGCGCTTGGTCTTGTTCGCACATAGGGCTCGTTGCTGTTTTTAGAGTTTCCATGCTGTTTAAGTTTCAGTTGCACTTCCTCCTCTGCATAAAAGTACTGAAGCAAGACAAGTCGGTGCCTTTGCCACTTGCTGCCGTACAAGAAGGATAACCTCTTGCGGTATTTAGCTTCTTTGTCATGATGAAGACAGCGTTTGACAACCATTATGAAGTCGGTGTCGTTTCTCTTTTGCCTTGTTATCTTCAGATCCAAGATGTCCCCCCTCACGTTGCGGTCAACGGAAATGTAGCTTTTTGGAGAACCAGTATGAGTCCACTTGCCAAGATCGTCAGCTTTACAATCATCCGGATGGACAAGGGCGTCTACGTCAACCAAAAACGAGGCGTTTTCCATAACCTGAAGTGGCACTTCGGTACAGACGGGCTCTTTTACTCTCATTAAAATGTCGACAGCCTCTTCACTTGAACATGCAGAGCTTATTCCTTTCTCATGGTATGGGACACGCTTGTCGTCTTCGTAATATTTGTTAGATTCCTATAAAGAGAACATTAACATATCACATCTTGCAGAGGAAGGGTTCAAGTGCCGCGCATAGTAACAGAAAGCCCACAAATGTGTAAAAGCAACACGAAAAAAGATGTATACCGCTGTTTCAGTCAGACAATACGCATGGAAGTTATAAAAAGTGCCGAACAAACTGATGGAAATTGACAGTCCGTTATTCAATTTATTGGATGGTAGTGAGTTCTTAAGGCACCTGTTTGGTCGTTTCCGACGCCTGCTATATTCTAAAATTTAGTATGACGTTTTATTATGAAGCATGCGTGGCGAAAAATTGTACAAAAACTATTGAGCCTTTAAAAAGCGCTCGAAATGGAAATATTTCAATTGCCCAAACATCATGATGGGACCGATCATAAGTAAAGATCCAATTCTTGGAAAACCAATTAATGAAGTAATTAACCAAAACTTTCCGGACACCAAGAAAAAGCTAAATACACTCCTTGGTGTTATGTTGTCTCGATATTCCATCAAGAAAGGAGAGTTCTGCTTTCAATAGAACATTTGGAAATACCTGCTCAGAATCCTCCTGCCCCTCTTCGATGTCACTTTCATGACCACTGGTTATTTCGCTTTCATCGCTACTGATACTTTCATCATTACTGTCAACTATCTCCACGAAGTCTACTTTACATTCTATTGCTACAGTGCCCTCCTTGCTTTCGAAACATATTGCTCTACGCACAAAGTCAAATTCCTCCACGTTTCTTTCTCTGTAACAAGAATAAAAGGTTTGTTTAACAAAGTGAACCCCCTGTTAAAAGATTCCAACAACCAGCCATCACGTAGCTGCTGTGGTGAGGTTTTACAACATTGGGTGAGTCAACAGTAGAACAACTTGTACACAAACAATACACCTTGTCATGAAAGCCAACTGCAGCTGCCACAGCTGGCGACAAATGTACAAATGCTTTCAAGAGTTGTTATGCTACTTAGAAAACTGATGAACTAAGGCTACAAACATTGTGTCAGTGTCAGCAGCTCTGGTCTAGCTTCCTCCATGGGTATCTCTCAAAAATGGTTTACCTGAAGGCTTGGTTTTCCTGTTGCTATGTGTAAAGGTTTTCGGTCATGCATATAACTCCTAACATCACATGTTTTGGTGAATAGTCATAACATTTCAGTGTACTATATATTCCAGTTTTCCAGCATACCCCTTAGATCTTTTAGCATCTGGTGACTGAACTGGGCTAGTATCAACCTATTAAAGTGAAGTAAAATAAAATATCAATCCATGAACAAATGTATCAGTAATAAACTATTGTTACATGCATGCACAAAAACGAACTCTAACAACATTTCGGTTTCATCTGACTATGACGGCAATATTGTGAGGAAGAAATGTAATGGTTAAGAAATAGCAATAAACATTCGTGATATTTCAATTGTTTATAAAAACACACCTGTTGAAAAACGGATGAAGTTGATTTTGGTGATAAATCACCTTCACTTTCCCTGATAACACTGGAGAAAAAATGAAGAGGACAAAATGACAATGGGAATACAGTGGAACTCTGACAGAAACTGATAACTTAAAGAAAACTAGAAACAGTCACTAATGAAGGTTTGAGTAAACTAATTATAGTACATCGCTGAGAAAAATGTCTAAGGGGAAGTCCAGCTTGTGAGGTTACACAGCATTCAACATTAGTGGAATAGTTTAAATGTTTGACATCAAAATGGTCTTAATTATGATAATTTTTATAAAGACTTGTCCTATATACCTTCTACTTCTCGTGCAGGCCCCAACCATTTCTATTTCAGTAATGGTACTGCCATCCTGTAAAGCAAGAATTGGATGTTGTAAGGTTATTTAATCAGGGTATAGAACATTTTTACACATTCTCTTGAGGGAAGAGGGGGCACATGGGTCACTAAGGCTAGTTATTCATCACTGGTTCTTTTACGTTTTAACGGTTTCTTATACACTTTTCACAGCTACAATATATTACATGCCGCTAATAATTGCTCTGGCGCGTTAAATTAAGTGAGAAACAATCGGAGCCACACCTACAAAAGATAACGTGGGTTTATTTTACCATTTTTTAAAAGCTCCATCAGCAGTTTCCATAGACAGTCCTCCTGGACTACTCTGTTACTTGCATCTCTTTCCTGATTTTTGTTTTACATGCTCCTGATCTTTTCCATGCTCTGATTTTTTCTTTTAATTGACTTCCTGGTAATTTTACAGTCTACATCAATTTTTCATATCATCATGGCATTCACTATGTTACAGTGTATTTTACATGAACTGTATGCTAGCTAGTAAATCTGTAAAACTAAAATCATCCGAAAGAAAAATAAATTGCATGAACATGGAAATGCAACCAAATCAATTAGCAGTAGCCTATATATGTCGGTAGAAACTCTCTGCATTTTTTGGAATAAACACCAAGTTTTCATCACATTGAAAAGCTTGTTACCTCATTGAAATGATCTTGGGGCACATTTGACAGTGACCTAAAAAACATACAAGCATGTAAACAGGAGATATTTACATCAATTTATGAACCTTTTGTGGAC